CACACACACACACACACACACACACACACACACACACACACACACACTCTCTCTCTCTCTCTCTCTCTCTCTCTCTCTCTCTCTCTCTCTCACTCACTCTCTACCTCACTTAAATGATGCTGGGAAAGGCATATTCCCCCTTAGAAACAGGTAGCTTGTAAAAAGCCGACATTATTGAAGCCCTAAAGCTGGAAGGAGCACATAAATGTGTACATTCAGATGACTGATGAAAAGAGAAAATCTATATGTGAGTTCAAGATGAGTGATTTAATATTTTTATTGATGTTTCTCTGTATCAGGCAGTAAAGGTAGCCTCGTATTAGAAGAAAGGCCGAAGTCTTCTTGAAAAGGCCCTGGACCTCAGGAAGGGTCTGTTGGCTTGTGTTCCAAAGACTAGTTGTACCCGAAAGTACAGGTCCTTGGCCTAATGCTAGTCTATGATGTTTCCCTAGTTTATGGCAAAATGAGATAATTAAGGACAATGTAAGCTTTCCATAAAGCTTTCTTTTCTGATGTTAAAATTTCATTTTTAAGAAAATATTGTTCTCTTTTGGTAAAATTTAATTTAAAAGATAAAAACATAGCAACCCTTTGACCTCTTTTTTTTTTTTGAGACAGAATTTCGCTCTTGTTACCCAGGCTGGAGTGCAATGGCGCGATCTCGGCTCACCGCAACCTCCGCCTCCCGGGTTCAGGCAATTCTCCTGCCTCAGCCTCCTGAGTAGCTGGGATTACAGGCACGCGCCACCATGCCCAGCTAATTTTTTGCAGTTTTAGTAGAGACGGGATTTCACCATGTTGACCAGGATGGTCTCTATCTCTTGACCTCGTGATCCACCCGCCTCGGCCTCCCAAAGTGCTGGGATTACAGGCGTGTGACCTCTTTTTTTTTTCCCCCTGGTCAGTGAAATCTAAAGTTCTCTGAACTGCTACTCTAGAGCAAATAAATTTTCTTGAAATTATGAATTAGAATTTGAGTGGAGTGGCTTCTAGAATTTTTATCAGTGTTAACTTAAATCATTTTATCATAGCACCTTAAAATGTATTTATAAATTAGCTCGTTCCTGGCTGGGCATGGGCTCATGCCTGTAATCACAGCACTTTGGGAAGCTGAGGTGGGAGAATTGTTTGAGTTTAGGAGTTTGAGACCAGCCTAGGCAATATAGGGAGACCTTGTCTCTACTAAAATTTAGAGAAAATTAACTGGGCATGGTGGTGCATGCTGGTAGTCCCAGCTACTCAGTGGGCTGAGGTGGGAGGATCACTTGAGCCCAGGTGGTCAAGGCTGCAGTAAGCCCTGATTAGGCCGCTGTCTTCCAGCCTGAGTGACAGAGTGAGACCCTACTTCAAAAATAAAAATGAAAAGATAAATTAGCTGGTCTAATTTTTTCCAGTCTCCACATATTATAAGGAGGGATTAAGCTCATTATTATTTTACAGATGAGCATGTTGAAACCTAGAGAAGTAAAGTATCTTATTTTCAGTTCCACAGTGAGTTAGAAGAAGGTATATTACTAGAATACAATCTCCTGGTGTTCCATGTCACTATTAATTGCACAGGGATAGCAAACGATGTTTAATTTCTCAGAACAACTTTGTCAGGTAGGAGCACTGTGTGAAGAATCAGAGGGTATTTTTGGCTTAGGAAGAAAGAGCCTGGAGAGGTTATTAGGGTTTCCTGGGTGAGGAAGGGAACATTGGCAGAAAGCCTGCCATGTATTTGTTCTTCCTAGCTATCTTGTGTTGCCTCTCTGAACTTAGTTAAGTGTGGAAAAGGCAAATATGCTAAGAAAGAATCATCAGAGCCTTTCTTTTTCTTTTATTTGCTTCTTTCTTAGTTCTCTTCTGGCCTTTTTAACAAGCCGGAAGAGCCCAAAGATGAATCTCCTTCTTCATGGAGATTGGGACTGAGAAAAACTGGCAGCCACAACATGCTGAGTGAGGTGGCCAATTCCAGGGAACCTCTAAGGGACCGAGGCTCTTCCGTCTACCGCTCTTCTTCAAGCCCTCGAATTTCTGCTCTGCTGGACAACAAAGATAAGGTGCAGTTTGGGTAGGGTAAAGGGGAATTCCAAGGCACTTTTTTTTTCGCAATGAAAATTCAGTCTTAGGAAAAATGAAAATATTTTCTAGTCCTTAATTTGATTTTGGAAATGCGAAGCCTTTAAAGGGAGACAGGCACACTGATAGTTTAATCAATTAGCTATTTGCTTGCCATTATTTGCTTGGCCAATAAAGAAAAAAAAGCTTTAAAAATAGCTTTTCCTTTTGGTTTGTTCATTCTTCCTTGCTCTGTTACCTAAAGCAAAAAATGGATCAGAAACATAAAAATTTTAATATGGTGGAGGAGGGTACAGGAAGGACCCCAGGAAGGTGTCCTGGAGCCAGAGGGCCAATTCTCATACCCCCAGCATCATGGCATCTGTGCTGAACCCTCTGAGCCCCCGCAGCCCCTCACCCCCACTGCGCCTCCCGCCTCCCGCCAGGGTCCACCACTTGAGGACTTCGTGGTGCTGGGAGGGGTCGAGGATTCAGAGGACGATGAAGATGACCTGAGTGAGCTGCTGTTGCTGGAGGATATGGGATAGCCCTCGGTAGAGGAGGCTGAGCAGCCTGGGGCCCCCGACCTGAGAGTCCTCACTGCCATGGAGCCTGTGCCTGCCCCTTCTCCTGTCCCGGAAGAGTGGCTGGACATCCCAAGGAACCCACATGTTGAGGAAGAAGACACTGGTCCCAGGGCTGCCGGGTTCCAGCCGACCAGTCAAGGGCCAGGTGGTGACCGTGCACTGCATTTCGTGAGAGAACAGCACACTGGTGCAGGAGGAGCCAGAGCTGGTGTTCCCTGAGTGACTGTGAAGTCATCCAGGCCCTGGATCTTAGTGTCTCACTCAGGGACGTAGGGGAGAGGGTCATGGTCTCTGCTGATTCCAAGTACTGCTATGGCCCCCAGGGCAGGAGCCCATATATACGCAGCCCTGTGCCTGGAGGTGACCCCGAAGACGGCCATGGACGGGCCTGACCTGGAGATGCTCACGGGGCAGGAGTGCATGGCCCTGGCCAGCCAGAAGTGGGAGTGTGGCAATGCCCACTGTCAGCAGGAGGACTTTTTCTGGCCACCAACTCCTATGACCTCACCATCAAGACTATCACCTCCAGTGCCAAAGTGGACATGACTTTCGAAGAGGAGGAGCAGCTTCTGTGGTTGAAGGTGAAGTGTCTGAACAATCTGGTGGCCTCGCAGCTGAACCTTGACCACTCCTGAGGCTCCTGCAGCCTCGTGCTGGAACACCATCCAGACAACATCAAGGCTCTCTTTTACAAAGGCCTAGCAGGGCGAGTACAGTGAGGCCATCCCCATCCTGAGGGCGGCCCTGAAGCTGGAACCTTCCAACAAGACGACCCATGCAGAGCTCTTGAAACTGGTGAAGAAACACGTGGCACAGTGGAGCATGGAGACTGCCCTGTACTGGAAAATGCTGGGCAACCCCAGCTGGCTGCCCACCAAGTGCCCTGGTAAGGGTGCCTGGTCAGTCCCATGGAAGTGGCTGTTTGGGGCGACTGCTGTTGCCTTAGGGGGTGTGGTGTTCTCTGTGGTCATTGCTGCCGGAAATTGACCGCCCAGGTGGACGCCACCCCCTCTGCACACCATGGACCCTGCCCTGTGCTGCCTAACTCCCCCAGACTCTGTCCACTGCCCTCCCTGGTCTGGCCTCCTCCTCCTCCGGGTTGGGGGCAGCAATGATTGGGGGTCATGCAGCCCAACCAGAGGAGGGACTGAGGCCCTCTAGGAGGAAAGCCTAGAGGAAGGGGGCCCTCATTCCTTCAGACCCAGTTTCCTCCCAGCCCTCCTCCTGCTGGGCTAGGTCTGTGCTGGGGCTGGCCTCAGTTTCTCCTCAATAGGCTTGGGGGCAGCCCCTCCTGCCCTGCCTGCCCCACCTGCCACACCTACCCCACCTGCCAAACCTGCCCTGCATAGGCTCCTTCTTTGCCACAGTGAAATAAAGCCTCCCACCCTGCAAAAAAAAAAAAAAGGCCGGGCACGGTGGCTCACGCCTGTAATCCCAGCACTTTGGGAGGCCGAGGTGGGTGAATCACTTGAGGTCAGGAGTTTGAGACCAGCCTGGTCAACATGGGGGAAGTCCATCTCTGGTAAAAATACAAAAATGAGCCAGGCATGGTGGCATGTGCCTGTAATCCCAGCTACTCAGGAGGCTGAGGCACAAGAATCACTTGAACGTGGGGAGGCAGAAGTTGCAGTGAGCCGAGACCAGGCCATTGCACTCCAGCCTGAGTGACAGAGTAAGACCCTGTCTCAAAAAAAAAAAAAAAATTAATATGGCCTAAGATGTTCTCCTGAAAGAAACTTCTGATGTTTAGAGGCAAAGGTCCCTTACCTGGGCTTTGAACCCAAATAAAGCTCAGGCAAATTAGTACTTAGAAAAAAATTTTTTAACTTGTCATTCTTTCTTTAATATGGAAAATATGGTTAAGCTAACTTCACAAATAGTTTGTGTATTCATTCAAGATAAGTAAATTTTTATTTTCTCCCCTTTTTAGTTCCAGATTTTATAGGACCCTCTTAGTGCTTTCCTCTGGGGTCACATCTTGTAATCACAGTCCTCTTGCTTTATATTTCTGGAGACTACTCAAAGAGATGAGGCATATTGGTTGGATTAACTGCAGCATACTTATTGTACATAGTCCTAAGGAAGCCGTATTTCAAGGAAAAGATGTACTGGGGACTACTGGGGACTGCATAAATCTTATTTCCTCAGGAATACTAGAGTGGAGCTTTCTGTTTGTGGCTTTTCAAAGGCTCTCCTCCTCTCTTGGCATAGCTGCTGCTTTGTGTAATTTGTGCTGCTGTTTCTTTATTTGCTCATCCTGACTTTCCCATGAGAATGATTTCCCTTCATACTGTTTTTTTATGGAAGAAAGTTAGGAATAAGCTTTTGAAAGCTAACCTTTTGTAAATACCCCTCAAAATAGAATTAGTGTTAGATCCAGAAATAAAATTATATAGGTATATTAACTTCTACTTTTCTACTCAAAATGTTTTACATTGTGCCAGTATTGTACCTTTCTTGTGCTTTACTTGTTTTTATTTTACAGGAGAGAGAAAACAAAAGCTATATTAGTTCACTAGCACCCCGGAAGCTCAATAGTACAAGTGACATTGAAGAAAAGGAGAACAGGTAATCCTAACATTGGGCAAAAGATGGTTCTCATCCTCTTAGGTCTGCTCATTATAGTCATCTCCTGGCCATTACTCTTCCGATTTTTTCCCTCAGGTGGCCTTACCACATTATGAATTCTTTGTTCCTTCTGCTTAGAACGCCTCTCGACTCTTTTATCCTTGCTATGCCAGTTCTTTATTCTTCAAATTCTAACTCCAGCTTAGACATTACTGTCTTTAGGAAGTCGTCCCCGATTTTTCCACACAGATTAGTTTTAATCCTCCAGCAGGCTCTGTAAAGGTAGGGTCTGTGTCTGTCTGGTTTTTCAAGGACTCCTAGTTCCTAGCACAGTGCCTAACACATAGTAAACACTAATATAATGTTATTCAGTTAAATTGACCAAATTCTAATTTGCCAGAAGGTAAAATTAAAGTCTTCCTAATTAGTTAAAATAAATATAGGGATTTTGAAGTATTGCTGCATCTCAGGGCAAAACGTGATCTCAAACTTTAGCCAGCAGCATTGGCATCACCCAGGTACATTTTATTTTTATTAAAAAAAAATGTTTTTAATAGTAACAGGGTTTTGCTGTTTCCCAGGGTGGTCTCAAACTCCAGGCCTCAAGCAGTCCTCCTGACTTGCCCTCTCAAAGTGCTGGGATTGTTAGGCATGAACCACTGCTCCTAGCCTGGGTGCTTGTTAGGACTGCAGAATCTCAGGTCCTACTCCAGACCTACAGAATTAGAATCTGTATTTTAACGAAATTTCCTGGCTTATTGAAATATTAATACAATTAATGTTTGAGAAGGATTGTGCTAGAGAACCTTGTGAAGCATGGAGACCCATAGCTTTTGTAACAAAGACCCTGAGTTACCAATTGTGGATCAGAAATCCTACTGCAGCACTTTCCTGGATACCTTTTCATTTATAATGCTAAAGAGGCTTCCAGCAAGTCTTCCTTCCCTTTCCCCTTCTGTAGTAACCTTTTTTCCTGGTAATGAACTTCTTCATCTTCCCCCATCATTTCCTTCTCTGCTTAACCTAAAAGCCACCTACACTGAGACAGATTGCAACACACTTTTTTTCCTTTATTTTTTGAAACAGTCTCACTCTGTCACCCAGGCTGGAGTGCAGTGGCATGATCTCAGCTTGTTGCAGCCTCTGCTTCCTGGGTTCAAGCGATTCTCATGCCTCAGCCTCCCAGGTACAAGCATGTGCCACCATGCCTGACTAATTTTTTTGTATTTTTAGTAGAGATGGGGTTTCACCATGTTGGCCAGGCTGGTCTCAAACTCCTGACCTCAAGTGATCTGCCTGCCTTGGCCTCTCAAAGTGCTGGAATTGTGAACTACCATGCCCAGCCGCAAAGCACTTTTTAAATAAGGATCAAAAGTGACTTCTCATTACAAAAGCGTTAGAGACCTTTGACATGAGGACTTTGGTACCTGTTGAAATTAATTGGTTCAAAGTTGAGAAAAGAAAGCAGACAGTAATACTTCTATTCTGTACAGAAAACAGGTATATAAAACAGAATCACCTGAAAAATGTGTCTATTAGCCATATTAGAGTTTGCCTGTCTTGCACTTCTCTCTCTGTATTGTATCATGGACAAAAACTGGTGGTAGGAATCAGTGTTTTGTTTTTCTTTCATGCTTCTACAGAGAATCAGCTGTTAATCTAGTGAGGAGTGGCTCCTATACCCGGCAGCTATGGAGGGATGAAGCAAAGGGAAATGAAACCCCACAGACAATTGCTCCCTCCACTTATGTATCAACCTACTTGAAAAGGTACCAGGCTCAAAGGGGGTGGGAGGTGTTTCTTTCACTCTAGCCATGGGAATATGGGTAATAATTGCATGCCTTTTTATGTCCAATTAACACCATAGAAATGAATCAAAATGAATTACTTTTAGATTTCTTAGAATTAACATCTTGAATAATTTAAAAATAAAATAATTTATTCTCTTAATAATTGAATTAAAGTAAGCTAATTTCAGGTTCTTATTACAGATCTGGCTTTATATTTCATCCTCTCTGTCTTATTAAAATTTTTAGTCAGAAGGGACTTTCAGTAATCTCTGAGCAAGACTGAATTTAAGTTATCCTTGTCCTGTAGCTGGTTCCCCCTTTTCTGAAGTAGAGTAGCTCTCATCCCATGTAATATTTTTGGGGAAAGGAAGGGAGGGACACTATAGGGTGGTGAGGGGTGGGAAATGGGGACAGTTTTCTATTGCATTAAAGAAGTTTCATACTAAAGCCTGTTAATTTAGGGACTTGAGTTGTTTTTTTTTCTTATGACTTTAATGGCCCTCAGATCCATCAAGATGTGAAACTCGCCAGTTTGATGCAGAGAAGGTACATGGGTTTCCTTCTTTTCTCATCTATATTCCCTTTTCTGCAATTATTTTCTTTGCCACATACTAGCCAGCAAACCAAGCACCTTTGCCAGAGCCATTAAGCTATAAAATATACTTAATATATTAATTTGAACTTTGCTGCTAATGTGGAAGAATCTGTTTATTATTGCTTACTTTGAATTCTTTCTTCACTTCCACTTAACCCTTCCCACTGTCTCCTCACACAGTGGTTTTTTAGATGATTGGTTGGCTACCTTAGAAACAGGCCCTGGCCATAGACTAAATGCGCAGATTAACTTTTTGGAATCAACACTTATTTCCACTTGACAGGGAGACTTGTCAATGTTGGAACATGGGAAATAGCTATAAAACACACAGCCACTGTTGCCTTTTAATGTTCTTCAGTTCTGTAGATATATTCTGTAAGAAAGGGCTCAACTTTGAAAGTATGAAAGTTTGATGATCTCACTGATGCTTCATTATACAAAAGAGGTGTTTCTTGCTTTATGAGGCTGTCACCTATTTGTCTTAATGGCTAAGGCCTTGGTATTCCTAGATGCATTATTATTCCTTATGGTTGGATCCAAGATCAATAAAACTTTTCTAAGAAAATAATGTTCTAGATCAAGGGAAGGGAGAAAGCTGGCATTTAATTTCCAGGCATGGAGTTATTCTGTGGTGAGGTTGTTGATTTTTGTGATCCAAATAATCAGCAAATTGGTTGAGAGGCATTTGGTTTGATAGATGTAGTTTGGCAAAGTTATTGTGAACAGTGAAGGGAAGGGTTGCCTCCATTTAGGATCAAAACCATGCTTAATGATGTGAGCACTTTTTGAGGAAAAGATCTACAACTTGCTTCATACCTTGGATTTCCAAAGCTCTTCTCCTGTAACCCTAAAGCACTTCTTAATTTTATAAAAGCCTATCTTGTGATCTTTTTAAAAGGAAAGAATCATATGCCATCACCATTTAAAAGAGCAAGTGTGAGGAGAAATTTGTCATTTCCCAGCTATGCCAAACCTTCGTATACATTCCATTTTCTAGTTCATCTCTTGTGTTTAGGCAGAAATTCCTTTCATATGGCCCATATTAAAATACTTCTTTTCCAAGGAAAGCTTTATAGCTTTTTTTGGTTATCCCCCCAAGTGTCTCATTTCTATTATAGTCAAGAAATATTTTTAAAATTTGAACCCAAATAATTTTTTGCTGCAAGTGAGATGGTTCTTACCTGTCTTCAATTGAAACAAATAAAAGTTGCCTTTTATTGCTCATACAGTATTACTTTCTAGAATTAAAACTTTAAATCCTCCCAAAGGCAATTTTGCTTTAGGCTGAATAACTGCAGTTCTCAAAGTCATTTTTTTCACAGAGCTTCTTTACTCTTTTCCGCTTTTAAAATTTAAATTTCTACTCCACAACCTCTCCAAATTCTCTGGTCTTACTTTAGCTTTTACAGTGCTAATTCTATATCAGGTAGACATTTGGGGTTGCATGATTATTTGCCTTGGGTTGGTTGGGAATTATTTGCTCTAATAGAATTATCCTGTTTCCTATTATTCCCTTTCTTAGCCTCCCCTCTTATCATAAAATCTACTTTCCTGCTTTCCCTCATTCAGTATCATCTCTCTTCCTCCATATTCCTTCACTCTTTTGGATGATTGACCAAAAAGACCATCCTTCAAAGAGTGATGATTCCTTCATTCTTTCGTTGATTGCCTACTTGCTGCTACCAGTGACTCAGCTCTAGCTGGAGTTGATCACTTCACTTCCCAGTTGTCATACCTTTCTTTAGTCTATATTCCTTTTAAGTGCACAATCTGGGTGGGAAGGTGGTGCTGGGAAATGGTGGGTGAGCAGCATGTCCTGAAGAAAGTGACTGTGTGCTGTTTTGCAGTGCTTCATTTGGTAGGAGTAGTGACCCCACAAGTCCCTACATTTCAGCCAATCGCAATTCATCTCCTGCTACCTCACCCATTACCATTGGTTCATCTACCTCTCGGGGCAGCCAGTGGCAACCTGCCTCTTCTTGCCCTGCACCAATCAGTGCAAACACTACTGCATCTGTACATCATGGCAGGTAAGGCTTCTTGGAGCCATTTGAGTTGCATTCATCAAAGTTAATGCCCCTGAAAACACATGAAATTTGAACCAAAGAGACGTTATCACTATAGAAAGACGTTAGAATTCCTGAGAAAATGTCTGAAATTTAATGAGGATGTTTTTGCTTTGACTTTTATTAGCCAGTCAACAGTTGCATATTGAATAATTAAAGTGTATGTATAATTGTACTTGGTGTTTGGACATCAGCTTAAGATGACTCATTTTATCTCTCAACAACCTTCCCAGTTGTGATTACAATTTAAGGGTCATACCATTGTGGTAAATCGAATATTGAAAATATTTTCATATTTTACTTCTATTAATTTTCCAGTAATTATAATAGGAATCTCTTGTATTTAGTCTTTTAAATGGCGTACAAACCCGAATCAGAAAGAAAGCTAGCTCATTTTCCAAAAGCCTGTGATAGCCTTCTGAAAACTCCCAGCCAATGAGAGTGTTTTGCTGGATACCCTGTAAGAAGGGAGAGATTTGTGCTTGTCTAAACTGTGTTCTTGGGGCAGTATCTTCCTGGTTTCTAGTTCATCTACGGGATACCATGGTAGAGGGTCACTGTGAAAGTATATTAGGACTTTGTCGTTTTAACTGTGGCTTTTAATCCTTTATGTGTGGTGGCAAAGGGTCTCCTTTTTTTTGGGTCTGTGTCTACAACTGATAAAGAAAATGAAAAAATCTTAATGATAGTGTTGTTGCAAGAATGCCAGTGTTGGTGCTACTTGATTGATATTTGTCATTTTACTAGATTTCTTTCCCTAAAATAAGTGATGATCATTAATTCAGCCAGGAGGGAAGGGTTTATGATGGATTGTTAATAATACTGTATAATTATGAGTAAATTTATTAGGTCCCGTAATGATCCAGTTGCATAGACATGTTAATTATTATCACCATAGATGAAGAAACACAGAGAAGTTATTGTTACTATATTATATTTGACATATATAATGTACATTATATATGTAATTATATGTATTATATATGTAATTATATATATATTACAAGTCTCATAATTTTTTATATATATATTACTATAACTATTAAGAGCTGCAGCTGGGCCGGACACAATGGCTCATGCCTGTAATCCCAGCACTTTGGGAGGCCAAGGTGGGTGGATCACAAGGTCAGGAGTTCAAGACCAGCCTAAGATGGTGAAACCCCGCCTCTACTAAAAATACAAAAAAATTGGCCAGGCACAGTGGCAGGTGCCTGTAATCCCAGCTACTCAGGAGGCTGAGGCAGGAGAATCGCTTCAACTGGGAGGCAGAGGTTGCAGTGAGCTGAGATTGCGTCACTGCACTCCAGCCTGGAAGACAGAGTGACACTCTGTCTGGGGGAAAAAAAAGCTGCAACTGAGACAAAATAATTCCAGCTGCCATTTGTTGGACCCTATTATGTGACAGGCATTTGGTTAGGTAGTATATAAAAATTATATTGGGGTTTAGTTTGCTCACATGTAATGATAAATCTAAATAGTAGTGGCTTAAATAAGTTAAAGGTTATTTATTTATTTATTTATTTTGCACTTAAGAAAATCCAGAAATATGCAGAGCTGGCTTAGTAGCTCCATAGTCATTAAAGGATCCAGGTTCTTTCTGCTCCACAGGTCTTGCATCATGGCTGCCATTTCCATGGGTTGCCCTATGGTCCAGAATAACTCCTGGAGCTCTAGCCATCATGGCTACACTCTAAGGAAGAAGGAGGAAAGGGGGAAGCAGATAAAAAAAGAATGCCGCTGAACTGAGAATTTTCCCAGTAGTACTAGTTGCCTGCATATGTCTCATTAGATACCTCTAGTGGCCAGGAGACTGAGAAGTATGGGGCTTTTTGTTTTTGTTTTTTGTGTTTTATTTTTCTTTTAAGACAGAGTTTCACTCTTGTTGCCCAAGCTGGAGTGTAGTGGCAGATCTCGGCTCAGTGCAGCCTCTGCCTCCCAGGTTCAAGCGATTTTCCTGCCTCAGCCCCCTGAGTACCTGGGATTACAGGCCTGCGCCACCATGCCCAGCTAATTTTTGTATTTTTAGTAGAGACAGGGTTTCTCCATGTTGGTTAGGCTGGTCTCGAACTCCCGACCTCAGGTGACCCGCCCACTATAATCCCAGAGTGCTGGGATTATAGGTGTGAGCCACCACACCCAGCCCAAAAGTGTGGATTTTTAACTGGGTACATTGCTGCCCTCAATAATATAGGCATTCAGTTCATAAAGAAGAGGGACAATGGATATGGGTTAGACAACTAGCTGTCTCATGCATACGTATATCACTTATTGTCTTATAATAAGCCCCCTATTATAGGAAGTATTATTTTATAGATGAGGAAACTCAGACCAAAAGGTTAATCATCTGCCGAAGGTCACACAGCTAGTGAGGAACTGAGGTAGGATTTGAACCTAGATTTGTCTATTTCAAAACTCTTATCTATTTTGTCACTGTTTGTTTCTGCCGAGTTTATATTTTATCCCAGGCACGATTTTAGGTGTTCTACAGACATTATTTAATCATTACAAGAACCCTGTATTTTAAGGTGCCATTATCTTTATTTTATCAATGAAGAAGAGATCAGAGAAGGTACATTTGCTTAAATGTAGCCCCAAGTATTTCCAAAGCCCATATTTATTCTACTCCATTGTATATCCTCTGATCTCTGCTCTAGGACTGTTCTTATTCTAACAATCTACTTATAAAATGACACTGCATATTAAAGTAATAGTAAAAGTCCTATTATGTAATTTAATGAAATTAAATCCTGGGCATTTCAACAGCATAGGAAATTACAGTGAGACCAAAACATGTTATTAACCTAAAAAGAACTTCAGGTAAGATTTGGTTAAAGTGTAATTTTTTATAGCTGTGTGTCTAGCTAATTTATTAGTACTTCCTATAGACTCATATCTGGTAAGTCTGAGGAATTTTTTGCCTTTACTTTTTTAATTTAAAAAATGACTATAAAAAAATAAAATGACTATAAAATTTCACCTTTTTTCTTAGTTATTAATTGCTTCTGTAGAAGTAGCTTGTGTTTTTTAGATACTACCTCTATCTTTTAAAATATTCTGTTTTTATATTTGCATCTAGATACCATATTTAGGTTTTTATATTTTGATTATTTTTTTCAAGCTCGTAATGTGATTATTTGGAAGTAAGCTTAGAGCTATCTGTGAACATTTCATAGGTAATAATTGTGAGTAGGTGGCAAAAATAGATTTTTAATATTTGTGCTTTTCATTGCTTTCTCCATCTCTGTATCAATTTTGGATCTCTGTTACCCCAGCAACAGCTGTGACATCACAAATGATAGCTTTTTGGGTGGAGAGCCAATGGTTGCTCCCAACTCTTTGTTAAGAAACAAAGATCTTGTTTTCATGTAAATGAATTTAATTATACAGCTTGCTGTTGAAAAGTCTGTAGTTAAGGTTACTTATAGAATCCGATTTGGTTTTTGTTTCAATTTCTCACTTTTGCAGTTATGAATATAGACAATTAGGCATTTGGTTAAATGGAAAGAAAGAACAGTTGCTAAACTAGGTAAGGGAGAACTAAGCATACCGAGGTTTTAGAGTATCAGTTGTCTCTGGATAATTCAAGAAGATGGTCATCAAATCTAGGCTGAGGACTACCACAAAGACTCCCACTGCCAAGAATTAAGGAACAGGTGGAGACTAATATCGTAAGTGACTTTAGTGTCTTTTTCTTGTGTAGAGAGGCCCTGTGTCCGTGTGCATGTGTGGAGACCAGATGCTACTGGGGAGTCATTTAAAGCACTCTTACATATGTCACTATCTCGCCTTGTACCATAGCTAATGATTTTTGTTAAAATAAAATCTCAGGCACACACGTACACATACAAGTCTCATAAAATGTAACTCCTCAGGCAAAGGATGTCAGACTAAATGTGTAATTATACTATTCCAAGTTGTAGGAGCTCAAAATTAAAAAACAAAAAACAAAATTAGAGCAAGATTTCCTATTTGAACCTCTCTTTAATCCTCTGTCTCTGTGCCAGTGCTTTATTGTATAGCATGACTTACCATTTCCTTTCTGCTTGTATCTTTTTTGATTTCAGGATTCCTCACAAATCCCAGACTGACTCCACAGCAGAGAAAACAGCAGACAATGTCTCTTCTAGCACCCCGCTTTGTGTGATTACCAATCACCCTCTGCCAAGCACTGCCAATGGGGTTACAACTACTCCTGTGCTCTCCGTTACTGGAACAGACTCCTCTGTGGAAGCCAGGGAGAAGAGGAGGTATGTTGGATTACTGATTTCATTTGTGGGGCTCTGCTTCAAGGTAGAAGATAAAGGAATGGGCATAAAGTGTTTTTCACAACTTCAAATACATTTATCAAAATATACCTTTATATTATGTTCTGTCTTTTGCCTCTGAGCAATCGGTTTTTGGTGGAGACCTCAATTGTTTCTGATTATTTAGCATAGACACTTATGCCGCTATGGATTTAGGCATATCTTTTTTTGTTTGTCTTGTGATAGAGACAGTTGTTAGGCATTATTTCTCCATTTTGTGATGGAGAACCTGTGAAGTGAAGCACAGAGAAGGGTCTTTTGTTTTGTTATGGATAGTCTATGTTGACTTCTCTGGCAGCAAAGAAAGGTAACAGTATGACACAAGGCTCAAAGAAATGGAAGGATATAAAGTTTTGATTAATTTGAGTAGAATACCAGAAAAGGAAATGAATAGTATGTGATGATATGGTAAAAGAATAGTGACTAGTTATTCTTTAATTTCTTTAGAGAGAAGGTATAAGAAAACATTGTGAATTGACATAAAAGAGATGTAAGGTGGAAGCTAAGAAAAACTTTTTGATTGTCAGGGTTAAGAGAAACCTTGGAAAATGTGACCAAGCAAGAATGGGCCCTTTTCTCCTACTTGAGGAAGTGTTAAAAAATAGAATGTACTCCATTTGGAAGTTTCAAATGTACTTAAAAACTAAGGCTATAGTTATCCCTTGTTAAGATTAGACAAAGTGAAATCTTATCAAAATTTAGATTTCAGTTTGACTTCATATTATTTTGAATATCCAAAGAAGGCACTTTAATATTTTGTGTGTACCAAGAGATTGTCTTTTTTCCAATGTATGTTCTTGGCACCTTTGTCAAAAATAAGCTCACTGTAGATGTATGGATTTATTTCTGATTTCTTTACTCTGTTCCATTGGTCTATGTGTCTGTTTTTATGTCAGTACTATGTTGCTTTGGTTATAATAGCTTTGTAGTATAATTTGAAGTCAGGTAATGTTATTCTTTTGTTCTTTTTGCTTAGGGTGGCTTCACTATTCTGAGTCTTTTGTGGTTCCATATGAATTTTAGGATTATTTTCTCTATATCTGTGAAGAATGTCGTTGGTATTTTGATAGGGATTGCATTTAATCTGTAGATTGCTTTGGGTAGTATGGACATTTTAACAATATTGATTCTTCCAGTCCATGAACATGGAATATCCTTTTTTTGTGTGCTGTTTATTTTCTTTAGTTTTTGTTCTAAAGATCTTTTAGTTCTTTGATTAATTCCTAGGTATTTTGTTTTATTTGTAACTATTGTAAATGGGTTTACTTTCTTGATTTCTTTTTCAGGTCATTCACTGTTGGCAGATAAAAATGCTACTGACTTTTGTATGTTGATTTTGAATTCTTCAACTTTACTGAATTTTTCAGTTCTAATCGTTTTTTTTGGTCAAGTCTTTAGGTTTTTCCAAATGTAAGATCATATTATCTGCAAACAAGGGTAATTTGACTTCTTCCTTTCCAATTTGGATATCATTTATTTCTCTCTCTCTCTCTCTCACTCTCTCTCTCTCTCTCTCGTTTTTTAAATAGAGATGGGATTTCACTGTGTTGCCCAAGCTGGTCTCAAACTCCTGGGCTCAATCCATTTTCCCACCTCGGCCTTCCAAAATGCTAGGATTATAGGCATGAGCCACTGTGCCCGGCCTATAACTTTATCTTGTCTGATTGCTCTAGGTAGGACTTCCAGCACTATATTGAATAACAGTGGTTGAAAGTGCACATCCTTGTCTTGTTTCACATCTTAGAGGAAAGGCTTTCAGTTTTTCCCCATTCAGTATGATAATAGCTATGGGTTTGTCATATATGGTATTTAATGTGGAAATATGTTCCTTCTATACCCAGTTTTTTGAGGGTTTTTATGATGAAAGGGTGCTGAATGTTATCAAATGCTATTTCAGCATCAATTGAAATGATCATAAGGTTTTTAATCCTTCATTCTGTCAATATGCTGTATCACATTGATTGATTTGTATATCTTTGAAGCATCCTTGCATCCCTGGGATAAATCCCACTTGGTCATGGTGAATTATCTTTGTAATGTGTTGTTGAACTTGGTTTGCTGGTATTGGCTATAGCTTTCTTTTTTTTTGATGTGTCTTTGTCTGACTGGTATCAAGGTAATGCTGGCCTTATCAGATGAGTTTGGAAGTATTCCTTTGTTTTCTGTTTTTCAGAATAGTTTGAGTAAGGTTGGTACTAATTCTTCTTTAACTGTTTGGTAAAATTCAGCAGTGAAGCCGTCAGGTCCCATGTGAGTGTGTATGGACATGTAGTAAGTATGAAAGTCTTATCTACAAGATACAATACAAATTAAACTTTTTATGTCTGCTTATTATAAGGACAGCTTTTATGTGTCTATTGTAAAGAAACTTTTTTTTATATAAAGACATATTTTGAGAAGGAAGTTAAAGAAGATGTTGAGTTGGAAAATAGTGTTTTTCTTTTTTTATTTTCCTTCCTTTCTTCCTTTTTTTTTTTTTTTTTTTTTTTTTTTTCATTTCTTTACATAAAAGGGAAGGAAACGAATTTTCTGGGCTAACAGTTTTCAGAGCCAATTACTGTCTTTTTAAAATTGGTCTCCAGCCAAGGAAATAGTATTAAATCAATCTTGAATAGTAAATGCTTATATACTTAATAGCTCAAATGTAATTTAGATACTGTTAGTTTCACCTAGAAACTAAATGCAAAAGTAATCTTTTCATTAGCTGACAAAAACTCTCTTTAAAAAAGTCTTCCTGAGCTGAGAGAAGTAAAATGAGGTAAATTCCTCATTAAGAGTATGATCCCAGAAAGAGTGGGGAAATCAGGTTCTTTATCAAACTGCATTGTTAAATACCTAGTTGCATGAACTGTTATTTGGGAAACTTAGTTTTACTGCCTTCTGGAAATGTTGTAACCTACAATCAATAAGATAGTACCTGCTGCAGAGACAAGATATATGAATCAAATAGTTAAAATATTAGTGAATATTAATATTAGTGAGTATTATTAATATTAGTTGAATGTGGTACATCAAGCACAGGTCAAGATAAGTGCATTTTAGGAATGGCACAAGATAAATAAGTAGGGAGATGTTAGATGTAGAGCTGTTGGACTCGTTCACTGGATATGTTCTAGCATTCATTCATCTTCAAAATAATTATTGAATATTTTGAAGTACCTGTTGCCAGATGCTATGAGAAGCCCAGGTGATATATCAGTGAACCAGACAAATATGAAGTGAGCCCTGTGAAACAAATATGCTAGTGAAAAAGACAAATGTTAAATGTTTCCACCTTTTAGTTATTATGAATATTTGTGTAATATAAAGAAGTAGTATGAGTTGTTATAACAGTGTCTTACTGAAGATCTGCTGACAGACTTCCCTTATTGGTCAGGTATGGTGGCTCACACCTATAATCCTGGCACTTTGGGAGACCAAGTTGGAAGGATCACTTGAGACCAGGAGCTCAAGACTAGCCTACACAACATAGCAAGACAAAAATTAAAAGAAATTAACTGGGTGGTGGCACACACTCCCAGCTGCTTAAGAGCCTGAGACCAGAAGAGCTCTTGAGTCCGGGAGTGTGAGACTACCATGAACTATGATAACACCTCTGTAGTCCAGCCTCAGCCACAGATCATGACCCTGTCTCTAAAAAAAGAAAAAAAAAGGTTTGTCTTCTCCTGGAGGATAAAAGAAGGCTTTCATGAGGGTGTGATACTGCTCAAACTGAGATCTGCTGGTTAAGTAATAGTTACATGAGGAGAAGGGAATGAGGATTCCAAACAAAAGGTCTGGCAATTGAAAAGACACTAAGGTAGAAGGGTTCTTGATCTTTTGGAAAAACTGAGAGAAGGCATTGTGACTAAGAATAGAGAAAGAGAGGTCTAGGATGAAGCTTGAGGAGCGGGTAGGAGCTATATACATACATATATCATATACATATATATGTAGAGAGAGAATTCACATACCATACAATTCACCAGTTTAAAGTGTACAATGCGGTGGTTTTTAGTATATTCACAGGTAAGTGCAACCATCATCACAGTAACTTACAGAACATTTTCATCGCCTTAAAGAGAAATCCTGCACCCTGTAGCTATTCCCCACAGTCTCCTTATTTCCCCTAGGCCTAAGCAACCACTGATCTACTTTTTATCTATAGACTTACTTATTTTGGACATTTTATATAAATGGAATAAAAATATGGTCTTTAGTCACTGACTGACTTCTATTTAATAGAACGTTTTCAAGGTTCATCCCTATGATTGCATGTATCAGTACTTTATTCCTTTAAACAGGTGAATAATACTCCATCGTATAGATAATGCCACATTTTGTTTGTTCATTAATAAGTTGATGGACACTTGAGTTGTTTCCACCTTTTATTTATTATGAATAATGTTACCATGAGCATTTGTGTAGAGGTTTTTGCGTGGACATCTGGTTTCATTTCTGTTGGTTATATACCTAAGAATAGAATTTCTGGGTCATGTGCCATTAGAAGATTTTAAGCAAAAAGTAGCATGATCTGACCTATAGTTTTTAAAGTTCTGGCTTTTAAACTGTGGCTCCAGTATTACATATGAATTGGACGAAGAAAAATAGACAAGAATGGATGTGAGATGACCAGTTAAGGAAACCATTGCAGAAGAAATGGTCATGAGAGAGAACAGTGGCTTGCATTGAGATAATGGTAGAAGAGTTAGACAAAAGTGAATGATCTTGACCAGGCACGGTGACTCATGTCTGTAATCCCAGCACTTTGGGAGGCTGAGGAGGGTGGATCACTTGAGGTCAGGAGTTCTGCCTCCTGGTCAACACAGTAAAATCCCGTTCCCACTAAAAATGCAAAAATTAGCTGGGAGTGATCACACACATCTGCAATCCCAGCTACTCGGGAAGCTGAGGCAGTAGAATCGCTTGAACCTGGGAGGCAGAGGTTGCAGTGAGCTGAGATC